TTAGGCTCTTTTTATTTTCTAAGGATTTGTTTGTTTGGAGGAAAGGGGAGGAAAATTTCCTCCATCTTACCAAACAAAGGGAGGGTAGCCCCTCTCTCCAAAACCTCCCCCCCAAATTGCAGGGTTCCTCCCTCCGCGCTCCTCCCTCTTCTTCTCCCCTCCTCTCCCCTTACCTCCCTTTCCTTCTATTTCCTCCCCTTTCTTCCAACTAGACATAACTTAAAGAAATAGAAAATTATTTTTCTTGATTGCTCATAATAATTTTTTTTATTTGAGTAATTATATTTGAGATACAGTTGAGATACTAAATGTTGACGTCTCTATTAACAAGATTTAAACTTTAGTTCATTATATTGGTTATGAAGAATTAACTTTTTTTTATTAAATCCAACTCATGAATAACTCATCATAACTAATAAATAACAATAAATCTTATTGATGCCCTTTTTTTTTTCCAAAACACAACGTTTTTTATATTAATTTTTTATATCATAATCTTTTTCACTTTGTTTTAAAAAAATTAAAGTAACCTAATCTGACTATTAACATTTAATACAAATTTTATATTATATTTTTTATAATATTATATTAACACATTTTTTATATATCATATTAACAAATTAACATATTTTATATTGCATTTATGACATCATATAGTATATTTTTTTTATTTATGCAGTTTCCAAATTATATTTTAATTTTTTCATTAATAATAAGTTCATAAATAAAATAAGGTGCTTATAATTTTTTTCGTATAAAAAAGTAGTAAATTGTAAAAATTAACAAGTTGTTATTAAAAATATTTATTATACAATTAGCTCATGAGTAATAAATCTTGCAAGTGGCTTTTTAAAAAAAATGCGATAAATTTTAAAAGGCCTTTTCTAAATGACTCATGTTGGCACAATGAATAAACTTTAGTTTTATATTTTTATGAGTTTCCTCCTTAGTTTATTTCTAATTAGTTTCATATAAATTGCTATACTTTATAGAATTATTAATTCTGTATTAGGTAAATATCCCTTTTCATATAAATCTCATCTCCTTTCTTGTCATTTGTGTAGTATTGGAATAGTTGAAATCTGACTTAAGTAGATTCATGGACTAATTATTATGTTATAAATTCATGGCAATCTATTCAAACATCTTGTTTAATTATTATTGTTTGGATTATTACACATATGCCTATCAACTAGAGGTAGAAATTAGGGTAGCCCTCCTTAAAGGATCAGGCTCTAAAGCTCAATTAGCCAAAATTTAACTTAATTTGAGGCTCGACCTTTATTAAAGGGCTCAAGGTTAGGCCTTTAAGCCCCTTTTTTCAAAAATAAAGATCCAATATTTTAATTTAAAAAAAAATATTTAAAATTTAACATAAAATAAATCAAAATCTCACATAAAATTTAACATAAAATTTGACAAAGATGTAAAATTTTAAATTTAAGATAAAGATTAAATCTTTATTAATGTAATCTAAATCTTTCTCTTTCCTCATCATCATTCAAAATAAAATATTAAATACCTCAGATATTAGGTTCACTTGTTGCAAATATAGGTAAAAAATTCAATGTCAATTATCTTTACCAACTCTTCTTCTTCACCTAACAATAAATATTAACAAAATTGTGTCATTATCAATTAACTATATATGTATGTGTATATATATGTAAGATAATCAGGCTTATCAATGCTTAAAGGGCTGCTTGGGTCTAGAGTTGGTAAACGGGCGGGCGGGCCGAGCCCTTATGGCATAGGCCCTAAAGCCCGGTTACCTCATTTTACCCAAAATTGAAGCCCGCCCTTATTTATAGGGCTCCAGGGCCGGGCCCGTAGCCCGGATAAAAAAAAATAAAATAAAATTTAACATTAAAATTTATTTAAAATATTTTTAAAATTCTATATCAAAACCAAAGTCTCACATAATCTAAAAAATGAACAAAAAATTTAACAGTCCAAATAAGATGAAGGCAAACATCATCATCAATTCTAATCAAGATCTCCCTCATTATCATCCATAAATAAAATAATATTAAAAACCCTTAGATGTAGGTCCACTTGTGAAAGATGGAGGTGGAAGCTCATATAATTATTTCTTTCGTGAGCTTCTTCATCACACCTACAATAATTATTAATTAAATTATTTTTATTATCAAATATATATCTATACATATATCACAAGATAAAATATAAAATTACTATAAAATGGGCACAAAACATTTAAACAATTGTTGGTACAAAATACAAATCAATTTGCACATTATCTGGAAAGAGGTAAAAAAATACTTTGTGAATAGTAAAATGGGCTTGACGGGCCCGCCGGGCTCGAGCCCGTTTTTTAGGGCTAAAAGGCCGGGCTTTGAAGCCCGGTTACTCTAAAAAATGTCAGATTTTTAAGCCCCGAACCTTTATTAAAACGGGCTTAAATGGGCGGCCCGTCAAGCCCGGCCCTTATTCCCGCTCTACTTGGGTCCGAGCATTTTTTTTACAGGGCTTATCAAGGTCAGGCTCTCAAGCTTAGTTTTTTAAAAAAAATTTAATTTTTAAAGATTGAATCCTTATTTAAACAGACCTTCAAGCCTTACTTTTATTTAACTCTACTATCAACTCTATTTTAGGGAGATGGTTAATTGTGACATTGCCTTACCTTTGAAAGGCACAGTGGCTATGTTGGAGTTGGATAATCAACAACTTAATTAATTTTCTTTTTTTGGGATTCACAACGTGGTTTAATATTATGATTTATTAATCAAGGGTTTTCCTTTTTTTATTATAAGAATAATTAAGACTATTTATTGATCAAAAATTAAGACTATTTAAATTATATTTCTTTTGAATTGGAAAAAAAGAGAGACACAATGATAAGATTTATTATTTTATAAGTTTTTCCCTGTATGCCTTTTATTTCTTTTTCCTTTAATTACTTCATTCTATGTTATATTAACGTTTTTTCAGATTTCATGTTTTAATGCATATATTCTTATTCTAGAAAGGTCCCATAAGGCACAAGCAAAAATACAAGGATATACTTTTTCTGTTAAAAAATGTAAGACATTTTTTGATAAGTTAGATATTAAAAAAAATGTAAAGCATTTTTTAGTCTTTTGATGTGTAATCATTGTTTTTTTTATAAAAGTGCCTCTATAGGTAATGAGTTTATATTTATTATAAGTTATTTGATAGAGGTAAATATAAAAAAATACGATTTTTTGAAAGTAGGTACTATTTTATTGAGGGGTGAACTTTAGTTAAAAATATCTTACATTTTTAAATGGAAGAAATACTTATATTTTATTCAATTATTATAATCATGTTTTATTCTATCTCATACCGGTGAAGTTTATTAAAGAAAAAATATTAAAACAATTATAATACGTTATAATCTACTAAAATTAGACTATGCATTGAGTACAATATGAGTGTCATATTATATTAAGCCATGACTTGACACAATTAAAAATATACACATACCCTGTTATCAATATGTATATAGATAGATACATTACCCCCCCCCCCCCCCATAATAACTAGAAACAAACAAAAAAGAAAAGTAAATAAGCAAATTTCTCGATTTCCATGTAATACATGGAACATTTCTAATCATATATATTGTAAAGTACATCTCAATGTACGGTTCATTTACAGTTGGATGAAAAGTACTTTAAAAAAAATTTATATTAAGAGTTTGTATGAATCCATGACAAAAATTAAAAAATAGATGTAGAACCCATAATAAAAAATACTTGTAAATATGAGACTCAAAAAAATAATATGTTTGAGATTTAATATTTTGTTATAAATGTATGAGATTGATCATTTGTTGCTTATAATATATATATATATATATAATAAGATAATTAATTGTATATAACATGAAAATTTAAATAATAAATTATAAAATAGAATATTTTTTATTTAAATCAATCAACTTATTCATGTTCTATTTTACATATAAGCAAATTTTAATCAGTTTACACAGTTCAAATTTGATTAATCCCAACAATTTATATCTGAATTGAAAAGTTTGGATTAAGATGTATTTGTGATTAACATTTTATTTTCTCCTAATTTAATGATTACTATCATTTAATAAAGAATAATTAAGAACAGATGACAAGAATACTTTTTGAAAATTATTGTTTTGCTTATAAAAAAGGGTTAAGGTTCAATTTTGCCCATGTATTTTTTTAAGAGCGTTTGAGCACCTTATATTTTTAAATGAAGCAATTTTATCTTTGAACTATTTTTTGACTAGCCCAAAACTCACTCTTTTAATGAACCATTAACTCTGCCATTATATGCTGACATGGCATGTGCGTGGGCTTATGCACAGTAATATGTAGACTTTGATCATGTCTTTGGTGTTAATTTGGTTTTGAACTTTTTTCAAAAGTGCTGAGTATCCTAACGTTTTGTTAAAATAAAATTAATAAATATTGTTAAAATATTAAATATTTTAATTTTAAGAATTTAAATTATTATTTAAAACATTATACTACCCAATTTAATATTTAATATTTTTAATATTTTTTAATTTCATATTAAAAATGAAGGAAAGGAAATGACATGCAAATTAACAAAGGATTTTTTCTTTCCATCTCTTCATTTTTTTTTCTTGTTAAGTAACTTTTTGTAGTATATTAATGAAATAAGAGATATATTTAAATAAAAAATTTTGTGTATTTGTTGGTCCTGATTGTTATATTTTTGATTTTACTTCTAACACTGCAACGTACAGAAAGTATTAAATTTTATGGTGTAATTTTATTGGAAAATCATTAGTTGACCCAAAAAATTAAGTAATTAAACCAATATTAAAAATATAAATAAGTTGTGACACGCACAAAAAGCATAACGATTTAAGTACTGTCTAAAAAAAAGGGTTAAAGGGTATTTTTGCCTTGAAACTTTTTCACAAGGGGGGTGTCTTAAAATTTTTTTGAAGTAATGTCACTTTAAAACTTTTAAAAATGGTGCAATTTCACCCCAACCGTTAACATTGATCAATGTTTGACTGTTAAATTTTACTTTGACCTCTTACTTTACATGTGTCCTTTCCTCCTCCGCTCGGCACTGTTCATCTTCCTGCTCTCTCTTCCTTTGCACTTTGAAAAATTCCCAGCTTTCCTGTCAATGTTAATGGTGGGTGGGTGAAATTACACCATTTTAAAAGTTCTTGAGCGATATTGCTTTAAATAAAATATTAAGATATTAGGCACTCTTGTAAAAATTCCAAGGCAAAAATCCCTTTAACCGTATAAAAAATAAGAAGTTATCTATACATTTATGAAAGTTAATTTGAGTTATTAATATTTAAAAAGTAAGTTATAAATTTTGAATGAATATTTATAAATAATAATATTTAAATTATTAAATATAAAAATATTTAATATTTTGATAATATTTATTAAAGGGTTAAAATGCAAATCTATCCTTAAAGTTTTTTTTAGGCATAATTTTACCCTAACATTTTAAAAATGGCACAATTTTGTCTAATGGCTTGACTGTGTAGACAATTAGCGTTGATGTGGCATCCACGTTACATTTACTCTCCTCTCTCCCCTCTTTTTTTTTCACTCTACCTTTACACGCTTCACCTCTCTCTCCTTCTTCACTTATCTTCCTTAAAACAAAGCATCCACCCTTAAATATTTATAATGTCCAACCAAGAGTTCAAATAACAAAACATGTGAATATACAGGCATCATACAAATCAAAACAACTGAAAAGGTTATAGAGCATTAAAAAAATTTAGAGCGAAAATCAGAGCTACCTACAAGGAAATTGATATCAAAATCATAACCCAACAAACAATTCGTCAATTTGAAATCAAAATTGATATGGAACAAGCAAACCTTCACAATCAAAATCAAAATCAAAATCCAATAAACAATTCATTGATTTGAAAACAAAATTGATCTGATATGGAAGAAACAAAATTGTGAAAATGAAAATCGAAGTAGATTAAAAATCGAATCGTCGCAAGCTTACCGTTCTTTACCCAAGTGAACGACGACGAGGAAGAAGAAGAAAGGGATTAAAAGGCCCATTCTTGCAATCACTCACACCTTTTGCTCTGTGCCGTCGACAACGCACTCTTCACTCTAAGCATAAGCAACCACCTAAGCTCACTACCTCAACCTTTGCTTCACCATCTGTGGATTGTCCCCTTCATCATTACAAATCACACCCCAACACACAAAATCAGATTCATCCGTTGCTATCAGATTAATCTGTAGCCAAATTCAAAAATGATAAATAAGAAGATATGTGGGTTGTGTACCTCGATCAAATACGGCGGTGTGGGGATTTCCAAGAGGAGAGGGATTATCAGAATTGGATGACGGCGTTGTGGCGAGGGCTGGCTTGTAGTTCTTATCCACGTCCTCGTCCGCCCACTTGATGCGTCGATTCTTCGCGAAAGGCATCTGGTGACCACGGTATTTAACCCAAGTTTTTTAGCCTTCCGTCAACGCTCCATGGTTCAAATCAAGTTTTATAGCCTCCCATCAACCAGTAACCCCATCTCTGTCTTCATCTTTAAAGTTCCCCTAACCCCTTCTCGGAGACATTTAATCCATTCCTAATTACTGGGTTTGTTGTGGTTGTTAGGTGGAAGATGAATCGGGAGAGTGATAAAGAAGGAATCGATCTATAGGCAGAGTTGGAAGAAGAATTGAGAGAGAGAGAGAGAGAGAGAGAGAGAGCAACAGAAAAAGAAAGATGAAAGAGGTCGTGGAAGCCATGTTAGCATGCCATGTAAGCAGAATTGGTCAATTGACAGTCAATCGTTAGGGTCTGTTAATGCAGGGCAAATTGGCACTGTCCGGAAAAATGTCAAGGCAAAGTTACACTTTTAAATATTTTAAAATATTAATTACATTTTTAAAAAAATTTTAAGAGTAAATTTATATTTTAATTTTTATTAAATTTTATTTTGATAAGACTTTAGAATATTCAGTGCTTAAAAAAAATTTAAAATATTTAACGCTCCTAAAAAAAATTTAAGGGTAAATTAGTATCAAAAAACATTGTTAAAGTTGTGTCACGTCAGTATATAATGATAGAGTTAACGGTTCATTAATGAAAGAGTTTTTTACTCCTCGAAAAATTGGTTCATGGATAAAATTACTCCACTTAAGAGTATATGGTGTCTAAGGCTTCTAAAAAATAAATATAGAGATAAAATTAAACCTTATAAAAATAATAACAAATCATATAAAAATTTTACTTATATTTAAAAATGGAGGAAATTTATAGTAAAATTTCACAATGAACTACGATAAAACTACAGTGATTTGTGAGATACATTATATTTGGATATAATGACTAAAATAAATCCTATTACTTAATGAATGTCACATGGGGCATGATAATCATTGTTCAATTTACTTGAACTATTGTAAGATATTTTATCAAATAATACTATTTACTTTGTCATTGCAAATGTGGTTGTAAATGGAAATTGTAGAACGTGTAATAAAAAATGGGAAACTTATAGTAACATTATAAATTTAATTTTTACAAATTATAAAATTTCATGTCTATATCCATTGAAATTTAGGTCTACATGCACAAGGTAATACATATAGAATAAACAAATTTTTATAAAATAAATTGCTTATTTTTACACATAAGATGTATTTTTAATTGGTTACCAGCAGAATAAATTTTATATTAGAATAAGTTGATGTTATGGGGTAATGAATTTTAGAATAAAGAATATTTTTTTAAGGGATAATGAAATTTTAAATCCCTCAAATTTTCTTAATTATTAATTTATTTTTTCAAGTTTAATTTTTATTAATTTAATTCCTTACATTTTTTTAAATTTTTGCTTTAATCTTTTAGGTTTTAAAACAAAAATTAACCTTTAAATTAATCCGACATATAAAGTATGTTGATAACTTGACATATTACATGTGACTAAATAAAAACAAATTTGATTTTGTCATTAATTTATGTGGTTGTCAATTTAATATTCTTTGTATATACTAGCAAATTTTAACTGTATATTACCTCTTTTTCAAAAATAAACTTGAAAGACTAAATTATTATTGAGGCAAATCTTATCATCTCCTTTTAAATATGCATTAGGTAACAAATTATAAAGTAGAATGAGTTATAGTTTATATTAAATGATAGAATTTTAACATATTTTTTGTCTATGTACGTTGTAATTTTATTTTTAATTTTTAATGTAAAAATTATTTTTGAAAAGTTACTTTAAATTATGCTAAATAATAATTGAATTTGATTTAGTTAGATAATCATATAAAAAATTGTGTTATTTACATTTTTCATTTGTACAAGGATAATAAATCCTTAAATAAAATAAGGGGTTATTTATATTAAAAAGTAATAACTTTTTAACTAGAATATGTTGTTTAAATTTTAATTTATGCGAAGATCACATGTAAAAAATTTTTATATTTTTTTATATGCACATGATATCATATTTTAAAATAATTTGTGTAAGAATAAAACAAATTGTTAACTCTTTTTATTGCTAATAAATATTTTTCTATTAGAAGTGATTCTATTTGAGGTAAAGTTGAGTATTAAATATAGGTACCTCTCCCAATGAGAAATGATTTTTTATCCTCCCATTGCTATATATGGCAATACTAAAATAAAATAAGATGTTATACAATTTAAAAGAAAAAAATTCTAAAATAGATATATGTTTTAGAATTTTAATTTACATGAATATAAAAATTCATAGATTAAAATAAATTTATATATATATATATATATATAATTATACATGGAATTACACATTTTATGATAAAACAAGTTATTTTTTGTTTCTATTTTCTAATTACAAATATGATGGGGAAGTAAAATATATAATTAATTTTTATTATTATAATATTTATCTATAACCACATATACAATTTTATTTCATACTTTTTATAAACTATTATTTTTATAAAATTATCAAGTTAGTATTTACTTATAATTTAACTTCTATTAATTTTTATGATCTGTTTGGATCAAAGAAAATGATTAGGAAGTGAGATTTTAAATTTTCGTGACTTCAATTTAAAAAAAAAAGGAGAATATTGGCTAGAAAGTTTTTAATTGATGATTTTTTTCTTTTACATCTCTAAAATTAAATTTTATAACATATTTATCCTTTTTTTAAAATAAACTCATTAAAATATTATATTTTAATTTTTATTCACTGGAAACAAAAAAATGAGGGTTAATATTTTCATACATTACACCGGGTATAAAATTTAGTTGAATGTAAGAAGTAATATGCAACAATTACAAAAAACTACATGAGTGGGGCAATAGATGGAGTATTGTGATCTCCTAGGGTAAGCTTTCAAGACCATTCTAAGAGGATTCAAGCTTAAAACTATAAGGTATTCATTTCTCCTCTGCTCCCCAACTCCATTCACATGTCTCAGCATCGTGTTTCTCTTTAGGGGGTGAAGATTTTGGACCTCAAGGAAATTGGTTTGAACCCATTTGTCCTAACGAGACTAGTGAGAGTTATTTTACTTATCTAAACTTAGTCTCTTAGATTTTATAAATTTTTGAGATTTGGGTTAGGGTTTTGGATAAACCTTAGCCACTTTAAGGAGAAATTTGGATTGTTAGGTGTTGTAATTATTGCTATTTAATTTTCCTACCTCACTTGTTCGAAAGAATTCTAAGTATTGGTTTTATATCAATAGAACATGCTCATACAGGTAAGGCTTCATGTTTGAATGACTTGTTCGTCACTTAGTATATGTGGTTTATTATCCTATGATAGTTGTTAATTTTTCTATTATACTTGTTCATTGCAACACTAACTTAAAAAAATTTCAAGTGTTGGTTTAATATCGATGCGGTTTCATATTTAATCACCAAAATCAAATTCCTTCTAGGACTTGGTTTGGGGAGATTCTTGGGTAAGAACTTCAATGGCAGAGGTGTTGCTGATTTTCAAACGCCCTAATTCAAGTCTTGGAGAGAAGATTAGGAAGCTTTACTATGTGTGTCCTCCAACTTCAGAAGCCAATGATCCATGGTAACCTCAAGTCAAAAACCATCCTTTTAGATTGCAATTACCTGCCATATATCTCGAATTTCAATCTTCACCTTCTCTTGAATCCTACTACTAACCAAAAAATGTTTGAAACCTTAGTTCCTTAGGATTATCAGTCATACATTTGATTTCAAAGTATCCTTTAGAGTGTAGAGAGGAGAGGGAAATCTTATCATTTCCCATTAAATTTTAATTTCAATTCAGTATTTCACACTTGCAGTGAGGTTTTAGAAATTCAGGGGCTTTCTTTTTTATTATATCTGATTAAGGGGTTTTCAGTGAATTTTCCCAAAAAGAAAACTTTAAATAGTTTTTTGGTTTCTTATGAAGTTCAACATCTTAGGGGGCCATATCTACAAACACAAATATTTGCAGTGCACACTGGACAACTAAAGCTAGGGTTGCCTTCGCAAGGCATTGTTAGATAGGGAGGTACAATAGAAGATTAAAAATTTTAAATCCCTATCTCAATGTAAACCGAATGAGCTTGTTTAAATCAAGGTGGATAAAAAAGTTATCTTTCATTATTTGAACATCATATGTGTGCTTTTTAAAAATTTATATCTTAGGAGCTAATAATGTAAATATGCTCCTTCTATCAGTATCTACACGAACAAGTTCCCAACACAAATAACGTACTAGCACTCTCCGTATCTAATCTCTATTCATCTATCAATTTACACGTCCTTTTATTTTCTAGAGAATTTTCATGGCTCTCAGAGGTTTGCCATCAGGAGACTTTCTCATTATTGCTTATACTGTTGCACGTCCCCTTCTCTATACAATACATAGATTAGGGTTTTTGCTTTCCACTTGAAGAGCTAATGAAAAAATTAAATTAAATTTATCTCATATATAAAATCAATAATATCATATCTAATTTATATTTATCTTATAAATTTAAATTATATAACTGATATGATATTCTATCATATCATGTTAGTTATTAAATTTAATTTATCATGTAAAATTAAATTTAAAACTAATACGATATAATATAATATAATATAATATATATATATATATATTAGATATGCATATTATATTATACACACACACACACACACACACACACACACATATATTTATGTATATATGTATACACAAAAACACACATATATGTATATATATTTCAAAATATATATATATATATATTATATTTTAAATTTAAATATCATATACATACATACATACATACATACATATATATATATTTTGAATATATATAATAAAACTATATTTTAAATTTTATATTTCATATATATATATATATATAAATATCATATACATACATACATACATATATATATATTTTGAATATATATAATAAAATTATATTTTAAATTTTATATTTCATATATATATATAAATATTTATCAAATAAATATTCAATTATATATATATATAATTCATTCACACTAAAAAAGCATTATATTTATTGAATCTAGATACATTTCAGATTCAATGAACTTGGGTATTGTAGCTTGAATTGGGCTATTTTTGTGTATGACTCTATAGGCCCATATGAAGTTAGCAGTCGGCTAATTATGGTACTAACCCTCAGGTCACAAGTGGCCTCTAGTAAAACATTATAACTACCCAATTTATATGGGGATTGATTATTCGATGCAACCTATCA